ATATAGTTTTTAATCTTTTAAATTTATTTATAGAAGTTAAAAGATAATCGCGTTACTCTAGTCTAGAATTAAAATTATATATATTTTCTAATCTATAATTATATTTATTTAAATATTTTAAAAAGAAATCGATTATTAAAAAATTAAGAGTATCGAGATTAATAAGATTAAATTTAACTTCGCTTAATATTAAATATCTCTTAAATTATAAAGAAAGAGAGAATTATATCGAAGAAAGTATATATAAGAAATTCTTAGATTAAAAAGAAAGAGAGAATTATATCGAAGAGAGTATAGATAAAGAACTCTTAAATTATAAAAAAAGAAAGAGTTATATCGAAAAGAGTATAGATAAAAAACTCTTAAATTAAAAAGAAAGAGAGAATTATAAAAAAGAGAGTATAAATAAGAAATTTTTAAATTAAGAAGAAAGAAAGAATTATAAAGAAGAGAGCGAACTTAAAAATCTCTTTATAAATATATAAATATTTAATTATAATAATAAATATAAAGAACTTTATCGCTCGGCTTTAATTATAAATATATATTTATAGCTAGAATATTTATAATCTTAATAAAATTTTAGATAAATAGAATATTAAGAGCTTATCTACTTAGTTTACGCGATTTATTAAAATTTAAAAAAACTTCTTTAAATAGTAATTTAGTTAAAGATTAAGTAATTATATTACTCTTATTTTAAGACTTAATTAAAAGATTAAATATAGTCTAGAAGAGGAATTATCGCTATTATAATCTTACTCTAATAAAGATAATATTATTATTTTTCTCTAACTCTCTTAATAAATTAAAACTCTCTATAATATTAATAATCTAATTATTTTTTATTTAAACTATCTCTTATTATTTAGCTATAACTTTAAAGAATAAAAAACTCGCGAGATTTAAGAATTATAATAAAATAATTATATCTATTTATAAGAATTAAACTTTATATTTAATTTAATATCTAGCTTAAATTCTAATTATAATCTCGCGAGCGAAAGCGTATTTTTCTTTTAAAGTTTTTTTAGAATAAATTATTATAATAAAGAAAAGAGAGTAGAGAAATAAAGATTATACTTTTATAAGAGATAAGATTAAATTAAATATATAATAAGCGCGTAGTAAATATAAGTTAAAGATAAAATTCTATATTAAAATAATTAGAAATAAAGTAATAAAAAGTTTTTTTTTTATTTAGATAAATATTATTTATAGATAATAATAACTTATTAGCGATATTTAATTAAATAAATTATATATAATAATAATAGCGTAAGACTAAATCTAATTAAATATATTATTTATAATAATAAATAATATTAATTTTTTAATAGAATAAGATTAAATTTAATTAAATATATTATTTATAATAATAAGCGATATTAAAATATTTAGCTTCGCGCGTAATTATAAATAGAAATTATTATTAAATAAAATATATTTAAATAAATATGGCTTATAGATTTTAGCGTCGCGATTATAGAATATTAAAAGATTTTAAATAAAGTAATATATAAAGAAGAAAGTAGATTAGATAATTAAAAACTAAGAACGCTATTAAATTTAGCGTATTCGCTTTTATAATCTTAAATCTTAATATTATTATTAAAAAACGTAAAATAATAAAATAAAAATCTAAAAGAATTTTTTTTTTTTTTTTCTCTAAGTTTTATGTATTCGCCGCTATAATTCTAACTTCTTCGCTTATTTAATTAAATTTTTTTTTATATATCGCGAGAAGATAGCTTAAAAAAATATAATTTATTTTATTAAGCTATAATACTTTTAAGAGAATATTAAAAGATATATTAACTTTTCTAAATTAATAATTTAATAAAAAAGTTATAATTATAATATATATAATTTTATATTAAATATCGATATTGAAAGTATATAATAAATATATAAAATTATTATTAATAACTTTAATTATAAAGTATTAGCGAATTTTATATAACTAATATTAATAAAAGATAAACTTTTCTTATTATTAATAAATATAGCTCGCTTTCTTTTATATATATAAAATAATAAAATATAATAATTAAAATAGCTACTTCTAAATATAGAAATTCTAATCGAGATATTTTATATATATAATATTTTATAATATAATATTATAGATATACTATATTATAGAATATTTCGCTAAAATTCTATATTATATTAAATATAAAATAATATAAATCTTAATAATTTATATTATATTAGAGTATAATATAATAAATTAATATTTTATATTATATTATATCTTTTTAATTAATAAATATAAAGAGTTTAAGTCTTATTAAGATAAAGAATCTTATAAATAAAAATTAGACTTATATATAAAAGTATAATAAATACTTTAAATCTAATATAAATATTAATAAAGTATATAAGCTTAGTTATTAGAGTTTTCTATAATTAATAATATATTTAAAATTAATATATAGCTCGATAATATCTTAAATATTATATTTCTAAACGAATTAAAATTATTCGATATCTTTAAAATAATCTTATTTTTTATATTTATAAATTAATTTCTTAGATTTATATTACTTAATAATAACTTTATATTAAACTTATTAAATAGATTTCTCTTATTAATAAATATCTAAGTATTTTTTAAAGCTATAATATATAGTTTATAGATCTTACTATCGCTATTAATAATCTCTATTAATATCGATTATATAATATTCTATAAAGAAACTTACTTAATATTAAATTAGAGTTTTTAGCGTCTATAACTTAATTCGATTTAAGAGCTCTTAATTAATTATATTATATTATTTTATCGATATTCTATTTATTTAAATATAGATTCGAAAATTATTATTATTTATCTCTATATTAATAAATATAATTCTTATTATATTATATCGATTTTCTTTTAATTAGACTTTTTATATATATTTATATCTTAATTAACGATATCGCTATAGTCTAAATATAAAGAGCTATTATTATTCTTAATATCTCTAACGAAAAAAAATATAATATTAAGATTTTCGAATATAATTATTTCTTTATTACTTTTACTATTTTTTAGACGTTAAGCGTATATATATCTTTCTATCTTTTTACTTATTAATTATAAAATATAATTTTATAAAGAAGAGAGATAGTATTATAAGCGTATTTTTAATATATCTCTTAATTTTATAGCTAGTAAATCTTAATAAAGATATTTTCTATTATATTATATCTTCTTTTTATTTATATAGTTTAATAATCTTATTATTCTATCTATTTAATACTTATATTAATATTATATTTATATTAATTCTAATAAATATAATTTAGCTAATTTATATACTTATTAAATATATTAATTAATATTAATAAATATCTCGATATATAATTACTATTATAAGATCTATTATTAAATATAATATTTCTAATAATATTTAAAGAAAAGTATAATTCTATATATAAGAAAAGCTCTTTATATATTAATAACTAGATTAAATAAGTACTAGTAATAGCGAGTAGTAAGTCGTTTTAATAAATATATTAAATAAAAGTTAAGTAAGTATTAATAATAGCTCTTATAAGAATTTATAACGACTTTATAAGTCTTAAATAAAAATATCTAGCTATTATAGAGTCTTTCGTAGAGAGCTATTACTAATAGTAAACTAAATTTAAGCTCTTTTAATCTATTTATATCTAGTTTATAACTCTTATATCTAATCTTTACTTCTAATAGTCTATATAAATATAGATATCTAGAAAGTAGATATCTAGCTATATCTATAAATAGACTATTTAAGTAAGTTACTATAATAAGTTTAATAAATTATCGAATTATACTCTAAGTAATTAATTCTTATCGAATTATATCTTAAATTTTAATATAGAGATAGTAATTTAGTAATAGAGGGTATGATTCGATAAGGATTTATAGTTTCGGGGTATGATTCGGTAATTAGCCCGCCTCTTCCACACGTATGGCGCGCCAATCTACTTCAATTCCAGCCCTGGTACGTTCAGGTCCTAGAGAGCTTTGCGCGTTGGGAATATCGCTCACCAGATCCAGATAATAAGCCCCCGGCCAAGATCTGTGAATTGCCCGACTCCCTCCTCTCCTCCTATTCCACGGGTCGAGGCGATGAGCTGCAGCAGATCGGTCGCGCTTTCAGTACATCCTCGGGTGACCCCCGCCCGCTATGCAATACATGGTATGGCTGTATATTGTTGCTAGAATTCAAGGCGCTTGCTTCAATCGGTGAGCCGAGGTTACTTGAGAATTAGTGCTCGCAAACAGTGAGGCCATACAGAAATCACGTATGCACAAGTAGATCTGTAGATATATGATTGGGCATATCTAGCCGGGGCAGCTAAGACTTTTCTGGGCATCCATAGCCCAGAAAAACTCCCATGTCTGAGCGACATGCCCTGGAGTGAAAATGAGGCTATACATAGGTGTGGGTGGGTGGGAGAACAATGATATGGCTCTGAAAGGAACAATTGAGAAGAGCCCACTACTGGTGCAGTGGCCATACAAATAGTACCCGCCATGTCCACCTGTCTCCGCATATCATGATATCGCATATCGCATAATGATGGGACGGCTGATCAAACAGCCACCAACGCTATGGCCTCATAATGGACCCACTAACCCACTCCCACTGTTGCGAAGAAGCCCTGGCTATGGGTCCCATCAGACGGGGTCACATAGTTGTGCAGTGAGCGAAAATTGGCTGGAAGGACTGGAAGGGGGGGGCTTGCTTGATCCCACCTAGCTGGCCTCTTCGCACGAGGGAGGAGGTAGATGATATAGGGTGTAATGGAAACGGCAGTTCGAATTGGTGAAGGTGCAACATTATATGCATTTTGGTGGTCTTCGAGTTCGCCACACTCGCTCTGAACGCTTTCGTAGCGACAAAGAAGGTGAGTAACGTATCTGTGGATGTGTTAGACCGGTGCTGTAAGGTGCTGATAAACTGAAAGATCTAGTCACTCTTCACCCTTTTCTCTTGACTCGCGCATTCCGGTTCTACCACCTAACCGCGCCCTCCCTCCAACTCTGGGATATGTCTGCTCCATCCCTCCAATTCTGCTGTAGGTCTTCGGGACTCTGTCTTCAACACGGGCTCCAATGTCCCAATCTCCAGAACATGTGGTCCCGGTGCTTTGGCGTCTAATTCTGGAGCTCGTGGATTCTTTGCTTCCATCTCTACAATAGTTGAGGAATCCAGCATGGGATTTGGCCCATCGCTCCAGCTCTGCTTTCGCGATAACGGTAAAAATGGTGATGATGCTGGTTTCCTTGCCGGTAGCATGTCCATGAGTAGTTGAGAGCCTCTTTTATGAGTACTCCTGCGATTGCGTAATAGTTTTAATTTCTCGGAGAGGAATGGTAGTATGGGTCCGAGGGAAGGAAGGCATGCTGGTGGTGACAGCGAAGGCCCTGATATTAGCTGACTTCCTTTATATGTAGGAGCGAGCTGAGAAAACAATTATGTACTGACCACAAATGATTGAAACGTTGGCCTCGACACTCGTCCAGATAAAGATATTGGCGTAAACGAAGGTGAAGTCGGCAGTAGATCGATCTTTGACTAGATAGGTCAAGCGTACGATGGAGACAAATGTCACGCTGGATTCAGAACAATCGTCAGCGAGAAAAGCTAGTTCTAGTTCCAGCGCCGGCAGTGTACTCGTGGAGGAGACACAAAAAAAAGGGCAATATACAAGATACCTAACGCAAACACGGCAGTCAATGTGACTTTTCGTGACCTTTGCAGATGAAGTTTCCAGATCAGTGGCACCGGAATGCCCAGAAGCACTACATCGGTGACAATATGTGGTGTCGATGAGCCCACAAAGAGCTGATAGTTGCCATAATAACATTCTCTCTCCACGTCCACCATAATGTTCCATATTGTACCGACAGGAACACATTGAAATATTGTGAGAAGCACCTAGATTATCGTAAGGAGTCCGCCAACATCCCCAACATCAAGAGACGAAAACGTACCACTGAAATGCCCCAACAGGTCACAGACGCTGCAAGAGTCCAGATGATGACTCGAGTTGATCGGCCGTTGGCGCTGAAAAGACGCCAGTAGAAAGCTAGAATGGAATACTTGACAATCCAGATGATAATTCCCCAGCAGATCTCAATGATAAACATCGCATGCTGCAAGCGCTCCAACTGAAATGCATCTACTTCATCTATGATTTGGCCTAACCCTTCCTCTGTCACTGTTGCGTAGGAGTTGCATGTAAGCTCATAGCTATTCATCTCGCGGTCTACAGTCCGACTTAGATGACTTACTCCGGAAGGCCGAGATGAAGCACATCGCCGTGGCAAGGAGCTGGTGTAAACATGAGCTTGAATTATTCTCCTGGACCATTGAGGTAGTTCACGCGTCTAATGATTTAGGGAATGCTCACAGTAGCAGGTACTATAAGCCAGTCGTCATACCAGAAACCTGCTTTTGAAAAATTTCGAGCAAAGTAGCGAAGACAGACGGCGATAAGCGTCAAAGCCCATGTGGCTAGGATAGGACCTCGTATACGGGTGATTTCAGACATTTGGAACGAAGGTCGCAGGTCGTGAACTGTTTTTGAGTGCCCTGAAGTCTAACGAGTGAAAAGCAGATAAGACAAGTTAAACATTAGCCAGCGGAAAGTAGATGGGATATTTTAGAGTGATAAGTCCGAGGGAGAAAGCTGTATAATATGAAAATACAAGGCTATGCATTTGCGGCTGAGTTGCATTGCATATGAAACGAGACGCGTCTCTTTCCTGCATAGATCGAAAGGGCACGGCGCTGTAGGCGTTCTTGAGATTATAGGGGTGTAGCTCCTGAACACTACTAATCACTGCCATTATGTGAGTCATCGCCGGTTCTTTGTCACTTGATTATGATTCTGCGTGAGATGCTTGCAAGGGATTGATGTTCATCTTTAAGAGACACATTGAATAGGTACAGAAGGGTCCTATAATTAAGGTCTTGGCAGAACTGCAGTTTTTGATGTGTACAGTAAGGTAAGGCTAAGGTAGACGTCCTCCCCTTTTTGTCTACATGTACACATTCGAAAATCAACATGGTGGCTGAGTTCCAGTACGCCTTGAATGCAATTCTCGGGGACCTCTTTCGAGTTCTATGTTGCTATTTATAAGATGTATCTCCGTGAAACAAAATCCTCCATCCTTTCTTCCCTCCGTACAGAAACACTTTTACCCGTTCAATTTTCTAATTTCCAAAAAGCGTCATCCTCCAGGGCCTGAATACGCAAGACTACATAAATCCTGCGATATAATAAGATGAGTGTCGAGGTATCGGACCGAGGCCGACTGCTGGAGGAAAGTGTCCCTGAAGAATTGCGGTTGTGCCCGGGAAGCTGCCGACACTAACCGAAATTCGGCTTTTTGGGGGCGGGATCAATGTCGCAAAAAGGGGCTCGCATCTGCATCTCTCCTTTTTAGGTCGTCAGTCCACCCTATCGAAAGAAGGCGCTGCTGAGGATCAATCCTGCCAAGGGCATTTGTCAATCTTACTCACTTGGATTGCGGACTTGCGAATCTGTCCCGCTCATCTACTCTCATTGCCCTTTCGATAGGCAGTCTTCGGCTGAGCGACAGCCTCTAGATTCGTCGATGAGCTAGATATTCAGAGCTCTCGCCCAACGTAAAAGATGACTTGACCTTTTGAAGTTTTGCATTTATCTCGATGTATGTCCAAGAAGCCTCAAAGTCTCGACGGACTTCTCTTGGCCTTATGAGCCGGAGAGGTGCGCGAAGACCCTTGTGAATCCTGATCACTCCTTAATACCCATGCCGCGGCAACAACAGGACTTACAGAGCCGTGTGCTGAGGGTTGACAAAGGAAAGTGATCGGCCACAACAGCAAGAGACCTTTTCACCTTTCACCCATTGAACATGGTAAACAGCCCTACTACGGCGGACGACGGCTGACACTACGATAAAACTAAAAAAAAAATCTCTTTTCGTTTTTTTCTTTGCGATTTCTAGTACGGAGGTTGCCATCGAAAGTTCTAAATATTAGAGTTAGAGCTTTAAAACTCTTAATATTCTTAGTAAATATCTTAAATATCTTAAATATTAATACTTTATATAATAGCGATATTAGTATTATATATTTAAAGTATATATATATAAAGTATATATATATAAAGTATATATATATAAAGTATATAATAGCGATATTATTATATATATATAAAGTATATAATTATAATATTATTATATATATAATAGCGATAATAGTATAATATTATATATACTTACGCTAATAAGAATATTATAAGAAATAGAAAATAGAGAGAGAATATAAAGCTTTTTAATATATATTTAATATATATTTAATATAATAAGTAAATATCTTTCTATTACTCTCTAATTATAATATTTAATACTTAGAGTATTAATTATAACGACGAAATTAGATTATAAATACTCGCTTTAATTAAAGCTAAAATTATAAATAAAATCGTTATTATAATTATTAAAATATCTTATTATATAGTTAAACGTTTTTAGAATTAAGCTTATATTAGAGAATATAACTTTAATAAATCTAAAAAATTAAAGCTATTATATACTACTAATATCTTTAAATCTAGATAATCTATCGTTATTATACTTAAACTTAAAAGTATTATTCTTATTACTATATAAAAGAATCGTTATAATTATAAAAAGACTTTATTTATAATAATCGCGAAATAAGAAATCTTATTAATAATAGTTCTACGAGTACTTAGACGTAATAACTTTCGATCGTATAAAACTATTAAAAAATCGTCTCTTACGAAGACTATAATAAAAGCTCGATATTAATTTACTTTATAATATAAGAATTAAATTATAGAAAATTAGAAAAGAGTAATCTAAATCGATAAAATAAGTATAATTTTAAATTCTCGACGGGGGAAAGTACGTGTCTAGCGTTAATCTAATAAAATCTTTATTAAATTCGTTATACGACGTCGTTTTATAGAGACTATAGAGTTTATATTTTAGAGATATTTTTTCTATAATAAAAAAGGTTTATATTATATTTAAAAGTCTAAAACTATCGTTAAAAAGAAGAAATATATCGAGAAACTAGCTAAAATTAATAAGATCTTAAAGTCTAAGTATAAAGTAGCTTAAGAACTTAAGATTAATATACGATATATAGAACTACGTAACCTTTCTAATAAGAAGTCTATATAAAAATTTACTATAAAGACTAGAAAAGTTATTATTAAAGAAAAGAAAGAGAAAATTAACTAGTATCGCTATTAGAAGAAGATATATATTTCTAACTTTCTTATATACCTTTTATTAATTAGATATAAATTCTTATTTTAAAACTTATAAAATTTACTTAAAAGTATAAACGTAAGCGACTTAATATAGAGATTATAAAGAATAAAACTTCGATATATATATTTAAATACTAGAAAGCGATTTATATATTATTTAATATTATTTAAATAATTTAATATAGTAACTCTTCGAATCTTAATATAATTAAGCTATATTAAATTTAAATAAAGTAATATATAATTTAAAACGATATATCTAAAACTCGAAAGAAGGCTAAAAAGCGATAAATCTATTACTAGAAGTATAAATTATTATAGAAGAGAATTTAGAAGTAAATAGAGTATATATCTAGATATATTATCGAAGTTATTCATTTATAAGGCGATAATAAATATTAAAAGAGTTATAAAGAAGAGGATAAGCGACTCTATAATTTAGCTAATTAAGTAAATTAATATATATATAATTATATAAAATATCGTATATAGATTATAAAGCTATTTAAGAAATTTATTAAAATACTAGAAATACTAAGAATATTAAGAGTTTTAATATATATTTAAAACTTTCGATAATAATCTCCGTAACTTTCTTTAAAATATTCTTTTTAGAATATTCTTAACTCTTTAAGAGATACTTTTTAAGATATTCTTTAGGGGTTACTCTCCGAGATACTCTTCGAAATACTCTTTCGAGTACTCTTCGAGATATTCTTTCGAATACTCTTTAAGATACTTATAACGAATAATAACTAATACTATAATTAAATATTTTATAAAGTTCTTCGTAAGAAAAAAATAAAAAAAAAAATTAAAAAATTACGAGACTTTCCGCGGAACTTCTCGCGAATTCTTTTTTTTTATATTTCGAGTATTTTTTCGAGTAATTTCTCGAGTAAATCTTTAAGAAACCTCTTAAATAACTCTCTAAGTACTCTCTAAAATACTCTTTTAAAATATTTTCGAAAGTATACTCTCGAATACTCTATAAAGAATCCCCTAAAGTATTTCTCTAAAATATTTCTTGAAGAAATCTCTTTAAATATTTTTTTAAAGTCGCGGGAAGAAGAAAAAATTAAAGAAAAAAAATTGATTTTAATTTTATCGTAGTATTAGCTCTCGTTCGTTATATCTATAATACTAGTAGTTTAATATTACGTACTTTTCATATATTAATTACTCTTCGAACTTTCTATCTCTTTAATTCTTACGATAATTATATATAGTATATTTCTAGCGATATCTTTTAATCTAAGACTATTATTATATAATATACTTTATCGTTAATATTTTACTTAGTATCTTAATATAACTTATTTAAGAGATCTTATAGTATTTAGATTATAGTAACTTCGAAAAGTCTTTATTATATTAATAAAACTTTTATTACTATTTAACTATCTATCTTCTAGTATATTTTATTATTTATATTTCGTTATATTAGCTAATCGACCTTATATTTATCTAAAAAGCTATTTTATATTACGAAGAAAGAATCTAAATCTCTAATAATAAAGAAAGTTTAATAAGCTACTTCGAAAACTTAACCTTCGATAACGATAAAGCTATTTTTAATTCTATTATACTTCGCTAAGATTATTTTAATAGCGAAATTATTCGTAAGTTAATATTACTATCTTTTAAGAATATTAATAAAGTAATTATAATTGAAAGTCTCTTAAAGTATTATATATCTACGATATTTAGTAAGACGAGAGAAGATATCTTTAATAATACTTATCGAAAGACGGCTAAGCTTAATCTTAATTAGTTCTTTATTAATTTTAATCTCTACGACGTTAGTATTATCGATACCATCGCGCATATCCTGTTACCTGGGATCGTTAAGCCGTTTATAGATGGGAAATCAATACTCGAAGACTATTTAGGTATTATAGTCGATCTCTATAATCTTAATTGAAAAGCTTGCTTTCTCATTACTTAAGACTGAAATTATAAAATATTCGATAACTATAAATTTAAAGTTGACTAATTAGATCTTTAGATTTCGTAATTTTAAAGCTAAAACTTATCTTATTTCTTTATTTCTAAGTTAAAAGCGGGTGCATACGAGTACATTTAAAAAAGGAAGTTGAAAAAGAACTTTAAAATCCTTAAATCTACCTTTTTTAATTTCTTTTCTTTTATTAAAAATATAATAATAAATTAAATACGTAGAGTTATAGAATTATTTATACGATTTTAAATAACGTAGCGTAGACGAAATTTAATAAAGTATTTATAAAGATATACTA